ATCGCTTCGTCACACAATGTTGGCCGAAGTAGGTCCAGGTTGGAAAAGGGCACGAGGTGGCCAGACTAAAATATGTCACCAATGTATGGAGTCTTTGACTGTTGGTTTGAGCCATGTGGGGCGATGCAAACTAGCCGGTTGGAGTGTGCGGGACAGGAGGAAGCAGGGGTTGGAGACTCTAGATGATATGGCTGAGAACCGATGTCAGTGGCGCAGATGTACATACACATTATCCTCATCTTGACGACCCTTTACCGAGTCTCACCATTTTGTCATTCTTTCGTTTTTTGAGTACTTTGTATTTCTTTTGACTGAATTTTCTCATTATCATCTTTCACTTAACTGCCGTTTTATTCGATGTACCGATATGATGTGTGGCAATTTGGACCGTTACGCAGTAATGCATGGCCCTCTGTTGACGATGTCAATACTCATGATATATTCCTCTTAGATGAATATGCAAAATCTACTTTACACATTCACTAACAATTTGAGAATGCTAGAGATGCGTCCCTTGCCACCCATATGCAAACTGTTGTTCCTAGACTGGTGTTTATCAGTATGTTTTCTGACTATGGGGAATAAAATGGTTAGGTTCACTGAGGATCGCATTGACCTGGGAGGTCGAATCAGCTCTGGTGGGTTAGCGACCGACGAGGTCTCTGCACACATAAGAAGTCCCGACTGCCTTTCTTTAACTTATGCCATTTATGGAGCTGCGTTTTGTTGTTTTATTTTACGGCCGGGAAACGTGGCCATTGAACCTAGAGGATAAGAGGAGGCTGTAGGTATGTGACGGTCGTTAGCTTTGTAGCAAAGACCGTGTGTCGTGATGTCACCACGCCAGTTATGCAGAAGTCATGTGAAGCACGTTAGAGAAGAAGATAGTCAGTTGATAAGGTTGTGAACCTTCGTCGACCCATCTGGCTGAAGTGGGTTCAGGCTGGAAACAAGTTAGAGGTGGTCAGACCAAAACATGACATCAATCCCTGAAGTCTCTGACTTTGTCTGAGCAATGTAGGGAAATGCAGACTCCATAGTTAGGGTCCGTGTGGCAAGAGAAACCCGTGGTTGGTGACAATGTGGTGTCTCAGGATTTTTCTAAGTGGGGGAGATGCATCCATACATTATCTTCATCCTAGTCGTCACATGTAAATTTTTACCCAATAATAGGGGTTCCAAAGGCTAAGTCACACTGCTGGCTGGTCGGGAGTGTAAAATTTCAAAACTTGGGAAAAATCCGTGTGTAGCCGACCTCAAGCAGATGTCCCTTGAGCTTTGCGACCATGTACTAACCACACCTACGGTGTGGACAGCCTAGAAGTGTCAACCATCAGTATGCTTCCAGTAGTACACAAGTTACATTCAAACATATCCTGTCTTCCTCGCCTTTGTCAACTTCTTTGCCTTCACCTCCCCGTACCAGTACTAAGCATCTCAAAATCTTCCGAACCATTTACTCTCCTTACAAGGTCAACCATCCAAGCCATCGAAACACCATTCCTAGTCTCCTATCGACTTCACATTGGAGTTATCAGTGTTCGAACTCTAGGCCAAATGAGATAGCAGATATTGCTCGCCAGACCTCTGTAATCAGGAGACATGGATGTATACTATATCTCTAACACCAATATAAGATCTAGGTGTGGTCATAAATTAAACTTCACCTGACCATTGTGGTGAATCTTCAAAATTCACCTTACAAGTATGCGGAGACCAAATGGCAGACTCGCTGGTGTATGGAAATCATTGAGCTGTACAACAGGAAGTTTACTCCTCAACTGGGTACACCAGTCAAAAACCCACACAAAGCAAAACTTTCAGATGTAATCATAAAAGCGGGTGACTTTAACACAAAAGTAGGGAAGGTGAGCAATCGGAAGGGCATCTCAAAAGTATTTATCGCATCTTATGCAAATGAACCGGGAAGGGTGATTGCTTCCTGCAATTTTGCTCCGACAATCACTTGTTTCTGGCCAGTAGTAACTTTAACCATAAGGAGAGACAATGTATCACATGGCGTCCACCGACATCAAACCAACGATGGATACAGATAGATCATATTGTCACAAGCCGTCGGAGGAAGATTGTTGCCGATTCTCGAGTGGTTGTTTAGACTGAGATCATGCGTTAGTACGCAAACGTGTATGTCTGCGCTTCATCGGTCACAGAAAACAGACGGCAGTGAGGCCTGACTGTGCTTGATTGGAAGATGAAAATATCGTCTGCATTTAGACAAGCACTTGTCTGAACGTGACAGCAGTGCTCATCTTGAGGAAACTTGGACTGATATTAAGTTTCCCGTAGAAGCAGCAACAAAGACAGTTGGTAGCCTACACCCGGAGGTTAGCAAACTTCATTTGATTTCCGCAACATCGTCCGAACTGACTGGTTCCAGCAGGCTCTGAAGACGATGAAGAGCGAAAGCAACTTAAACTTAAGTTAACCAAGAGCGATAGCGAACAGTGGTGGGCAGTGAAGAAGGTATAAACGTTAAGTATTACCTGGCAACTATTTAGACTTACTTAGGGTACCGGCACTGGTCAGTGAAACCATCACCAACACAGATGGGATGAGTTTGAGTGGGCCGTAGTTATCGATCCTTCGAATCTCGTCGAAGTTCAGAAGGCTGTTTTAAGATTGAAACAATCCAAAGTAGAAGGAACTAACGGTTTGCCACATGTAGTTTTTAAGAGCGGAGGTAGGAAATCGTTGATTAAAGTGACGGAGATACTAGGTAGTGTATGAGAATTAAAGGTGGTCTCCTCATGGTGGTCTGCTTTACTGATCATTCCAGTTTACGAGGAGTCTTCTTGTGATAATCATAAGGGAATCAGTTTTACTAATATCGTGTCCAAGACTCTGGAGTCCATAGTTAGCCGATACCTAGCTGGAGCTAGAAAACAACCAACTGGAGAGAACTAGGCACGTTTCAGACTTGGACAAGAGTGGCTTGGTCAGATTTTGGAGCAGACATACCGGCGATTGACACACCATATTTCCTGCCCCTAAAACGGTACCCCGCTCTGTCGAATGTGAGGTGCTTTGGCAGTTTCTGACCACTTAACTTTTTTGGGGAGGTGCGTAAGTCCGAACGAGCTGGTGGATGACGAAATCTCAGCTCGGATACAGAAAGGGTGTTTGGCATTTGTCAACTCGCATCGTCTCTGGTGCCAATTGGTAAGATATCAGACTACCTGTCAAAGGTCGAGTAGAGTGAGCTATAGTACACCCCCTCCTATTACATTGTTGTGAGACATAGCTGTTAAATTAGATGTGAGGAGATTACAGGTTCTTGATCACTGGTGTCTTCGCAGCATTGCTAGCATATGGTGGGGTCACGGCGTGAGCAGTGCCAAGGTTAGACAAGGAGTACTACGCACGTGAGCCGATGAGTTTGCGAACCTTTGCCACCTGAGGTGGTTTGGAAATGTGTCGCCCATGACCAGCCCTCACCCACCTCGATGTGCAATAATTATTTGAATTAGGCTGGAAGGAGGCTAACGGTGACCAGAGCATGAGATGGTAACAAACTGTGAGTGTTGGTCTGAGTGATGTAAGAATATTTCCACTACTTGGTTGGGGTCTCTGATTATGCGGATCAGTGGTTAAGACCGTTGGTAACATGCCAGAAAATAGGTTACAATGGAGCAGATGAACTCATTTTTCGATATCTACGAAATTTTGAGCACCTTCACTAGTTTTCGTTCCTCAGAATTCTTTCTCCTCTCGTATGCTTTTTATGCTGTATTATCACCCTTTTTCTATCGATTTATTTTTGAGTGCTGCTTTGAAATGTGGCAACTTGAACCAATGAACTTTTGTGCGAGATTCTGCGCTGATTTGTCTTTCCATTTTCTATAGCAAAACGAAATTCGAGCGGACAAAAATGAATGAAATCGTCATCTAGAATTTTCGTTACTGTAAACTTACAGCACATGAAATTTATTGTAATTATAACGTGTAGGTTAACTGTAAGGTAAAGTGGTGCCTAATCGAACTGGATACCTTACCTCATAAATGGATATATTCGTCTCCCCATAACTGACTAAAGTTAAAAGGCTGAACTACTCAGTTCACGGAGTTTAATATTAGTATATAATGACATTTAGAGTCAAAGACCAAAATAAGAATAATGAAACAATGCAGTTATATATGTGCGAAAACAAACAAAATAAGATGGTTACAATGTAATCTGCAAATAAATGGTCAGTAGAAAGTAATTTCGGCGTTAGCTGGCAATCAGACAGACAGATCAACGTGGAACCTCGCAAAAAGCGCATTGGTTCAAGTTTTCACACCTGATCTAATGAACATGTTCTTATTCTATTGTTTTTATTAGTATGTCTTTCTGTATCTGATTTTTCTTCTGCTTCACTCCAACACTTATTTGATGTAATATGTATCCTGTTGTAAAGGATTTGCTTTGATAAATAAAAAAGCCTATGTCTTTCAAATACGCTGAAAGCAGAACTTCCGTCAATAACTGTATTATTTACGCTAAAGAGGCGGTATCCAACTCAATTTAAGAGATAAACAACAGCTCTTTTCTACGTTCACGCCATGGTGTTTTTCCGTTAAAATTGATATTGTATGCTGAAACCCAAGTAGTGAATACTAAGTTTCTTGAGCTTAATAAACCGGTACCAGCGAACTTGATACAGATTTGTGACGGTAATCTGTTGCTATATGGATGGAACTCTGTTACCATTGGGTACTAGAATTCACGGTCAAAAGATTTTGGAGAACAACCCTGTAAAACGCCTCTCTGACTGACTAGAAGATAGGGATAAGCTGCGCAATGTAAGAAAGCATTTGAAACACAAAAAATAATGCAAGAATATCATGTTTCTAAAATGAAAAGTTGGATAGTATCTTTGTGCTATGAAAATATACATATAATAAATGGAAATAATGAAATTTCATGTATAAGGAGAGGGAGTGAAGTCTTTTTTGTTGTTAGACGAAGTTATACGTTGTAAAGTATTCATTTGCGACGCTTAGTTGCTATCAACAGTTAGAAGTCGTACATCTACACCAAACACCTCCAATACATATCCCATCAATGTTTTCTGTTCTCCATATCGAACTGATTCTACAAGTTTGCAGACTTTGTTCTTTAAATTACGTTGTCTACAAAGAGCATGAAGGCATATTACTGATTTTTAGAAAAGCACTTTTATTTAACTATAGAACTTACTCAATATGGGTACCAACAGGATACAGAAGAACAATATAATTCCAGACATAAAACGAATCAATATCAATGAGATGATGAAACAAACAGGTAAAAGTATTTTCGGTTGATTTATAGTATTAAGGGTTGATGTGTCCAAGAAGAGAAGAATTAACAAAGGACAACATAATAAAACAAATCCTATTAGAACTGGGATTGGGTTAATAACACTAAAATAATGTTTTATCTCATTAACAATTGTTGTTAATTACCTCAACAATAGGATTATAATCATACTCATTAAGAAGTAATTTGACTGATAGTAAATCAAATTTGAAATCATTCTTTCATTCCATTTACTTTCTCTGGGAACACTGAAACGAGCATCTGAACCTAAGAAATCGCTGAAAGAACGTAACGGGACTGAACGCATTTCTTCTTTTTTGATAATGTGGCACTGTAATCTGTCAAGTTAAAGTTAACATATTTGATAAACTAATCACATATAAATGTAAACTGGATGTGAAGAAAATGACTAACTATATATGATGATGAATTTTGTTATCATCAACTGAAAGGTATTTATCCTCATCGTTTTGGTATTGTATGAGTTTAATATAAGAGTAAAACTTGGCATTATGGTGGACCGTAATTTCATCTTAGTTTGTTTATCAGATGGATCTAAACAGTGAGTCAGCATTGTTTATTGTATAACGTTTTGAACACAACTTATTGTCTGTAGTCATAACAAGGTAAGTTCGTAGAAATTAAGCAGTTATACAAAGTAGAAAAAATGCGCTTTAGTAACTTCTTCCGAGAGAACTAGGCGCACTTAGCCCCCTTGTGCACATCCATGCAGTAGGTAACGAGCCACACCTATTGTGTGACGGCTAATGATACAATTACTTAGCTGCCCGAACCTAAGTAGGTGGAGGGAAGTTCAAACTCATCATCCATTGGTTGGTGGTCATTTTCCTAAACCACTGAGTCGTAGCTCCAAAAACCATACATTTTATACGGGCTGTCCATTCCTTAGCTCCGTTTAGATAAATGATGTTTAAGCGTTCCGGTATTTTAGAAATTGGTGGTCAATCTGGTTTTTTTTTGGTTATCGTAAAGGGATTATTACTAATACTTACTAAAGTTTAAAAAATTGTCAGAATTGTGCCCAGATTATATAATCCAGCTAATGTCGTACTTAGTTTAACTATTAGTTCAGAACAGCAATCCTGGAAGTCAATCTCTAAGAACTTTAGCAGCAAGACCATTGCGGTTGCAGCTTGACAATGCGAGCATTAAGCATGCTTTCAGTAGAAAGTTGGCTCGAGGGTTATTGGAACGGAAGAGTACCACTCATACAGAAGCTTCGCATCACCTACAGTCTGCTTATAAAAACAGCGGTGGAGATCATAGCCAACTCCCAAGGAGTGGTTAAAAAGTCAGTGAATATCAGCAGCTTCTAAATTAATGGATTTACGTGAACATATTCGTGCAGACTCCGAGTTCAATCAAGAGCGAATGCAACTCAAACGTGAACTGACAAAAAAGTCTACACAATGACCAGGAATAGTGGTGGGTAGCGACGGCTAAAGAGATAGAAAAGACAGTGGCGATAGGTAGCAGTAGGCAGCCATTTAGATCTATAAAGAAAAACGGTTAGTGAAACGACGGTGAAGAATGGGTGTACGATTCATTCGCAGGGGAGACGACTGGAACTATGAGCGGAACACTTCGAGGAACAGTTAAACCGGCCCCCAGCTACTATTTGGTTGCTCACTAGTTAGTTGGACCCTGAATGGAACATCGAGATACGACCCTTAACAATTGTAGAAGTCGAGACAGTGGTAGGTATCCTTAAACGAGGAAGAGCAGTGGGGATATACAAACTAGTTCCAGAAGTATTTCAGGACGGTGGCAGAGGACTTTTATCCAAATTAACTGTAGTGTTAACTAGTAAATGAAAGTTATACATGATCATCTCTATCTGGTTACAATTACTGACTCCTTAATCTTCAAAGAAGGGCGAGACCTCTTGTGGTAACCACAGAGTAGTCATCCTGACGAGCATAGTGTCTAAGATTCTAGGTTCCATAACTACTAGACGTCTGAGGGGAGCTCGGGAATGGCGAACCCGAGAAAACCAGGCAGGCCTCAGACCTGGTCGTGGGTGTATTGAACAGATACTCAACCTCTGCCAGGTTCTGAAACACGAGCATACCAACGACCGACACTCGCTGTATTTATCAACCTAAAGATGGAATTCGACCGAGAGGTCTTATCAGTGTCTATCACGGAAACGGGTGGTAGGTAAGCACACCAATCTGTTGGAGGTTCTGTACCCGAATACACGTGTTAGAGCCTATGGTAAGTTATTAGCTGAGCAGTGTACATCGAGCGTTGTCCGTCAAGGATGTCCACTCACTCGATTCTTGTTCAACTTTATCATGGACATTCTCATGTAGGTCTTTTTCTCTTTATCCGATGGTGACACAATAATCCTTAGTAGATACACAGTAAGCAATTGACATCTTGGTTAGGTGAAGACGCTAACAAGAGGCAGTCTGCTCGACACATTGAGTGGCAATTCGAGAATGTTTGGGATGTGTTTCTCACGAAGCAAATACAAATTGGTGCTGTTAGACTGGTCTTCACTGGTGTCCTGTCTAACAATGGGGAATGAAATGGTTGAGTCCACTGAGCATTTCACATGCCTGGGAAGTCGAAATCTCTGCACATTCAAAAGGCTTTCGCAGCGCTCGCCAACTTACACCACCAGTAGCACCGTCGTGATATCCGACTGCCGATTAAGGGTCGAGTGTAATGTGCTGCACTTCGCTATGTCCTAATGTACCCAATCGATAGCTGCTACCTAGACGTGGTGATCGGGCTTGCATATCATAATGACCCCCGAGGTTCTAACATACTAGAAAGGTCTGTTGGATAGAGGTTAGAAGAAAAGCAGTTATCGTTGTGGTGTAAATTACTACAGTATGATGAGGGTATGAACGCAAAGTCGTACTGTTGCTAGCTGGATGGGGTGTGACAGCAGTAAGGTGTTTCCCTTGGATGACATCCACCAGTGCCATGCTAATGCTGCCTTTCCAGTGGAAGGGAGGGTTAGGAAAGGTCGGCCCCCAAAATAACACACTCCACCATGCCCCACGGTCTGCCGGGCTGGCGGTGTTGGTTCACTTGTCGTTTCCTTTCGACCATCCGGCCCCAAAAATACAAAAGTTCAAAATAATCATACTCAAGCGGCTGAGTGTGACAGGCCTCAAGCAGATGTCCGATGGGCTTTGCGGTCACACAAATCTCTTCCAGGTACCTTAAGAAGAAATAGCCTTCCACGGTGTTGGCAGCCGGAAAATGTCAACCATACTCACAACTGTCAGCACTCAAGTTTCCCCAGACTGCTAGCCACCTTCCCCATCATTACCTTTTAATCTTCCTTCACGTCTCTCAACTAGCGATACTACATTATCTTGAATTTTTCGTAGCTCTGCAGCCTTCGACAACGATCTCAGTTCACAAAACAGCATCCTTGGTCTCCTTAAACTACGCTTGATTACATATCGGAGCCTTCAATGTCCGCACCCTCCGCGTCAAGCTGGTCAACAGGCTTCATAGGCAAAGACTTTAGCAACTCGGACCATGGATATGTGCTGTGTTTGTCAGACACGCATACATGACCCAAGTGTGGTTATTCACCTAACCTTTCCCGGCCAATCTGATGAATCCGCAAAATCCACCCTTCGAGTTTTTGGAGGTTCGATGGCTAGCACTCTCAATGTCGCAAGCGTAGGCATAGCATTAAGTACTACGGCAGAAAACTCACTACTAGACTGGATCCCAGTTGACAGTCGCCTCTGCGCTATCCGACCGAACGGCATAGTGAGAACTAAAAGGAATAGTGAAACTCGTCGTTGTCTCTTTGTAATTTCTGCTTACGCAACCACTGACTGCAGTTCAAATGCAGTGAAGGACGAGTTCTGCCGAAAACTATCTAGCCTCCTTTCGAAAGACAAAGGCTCAGATGCGATGGTTGTTGCAGGTGATTTCAATGCACAGGTGGGTAGACTGAGTGAGGCAGAAAGGCACTTAGGTGGCACTTTCGGAATCCCAGCTAGACGAACAGATAACAGTGATCGTTTACTACAACTGTGCTCAGATAACCGCCTATTTTTAGTTAGCACAAATTTCAGACACAAAGAAAGACACTGTCTGACGTGGCGTGCACCCAGCTCAACTCAGCGATGGGCACAGATAAACCACATTGCTATTAGTCATCGCTGGAGAGGATCGGTGGAAGACTGCCGCTCCTTCTGGAGTACGTGTTTGGACAGCGATCATGCGTTGGTCCGAGCACGTATATGCCTGCGTCTCAATGGACGTGGAAAAAATTTGGCAACAAAACCACTATGAGTGCTGCTGGAAAACGGAAACACCAAAGCCGTGTTCATTGAGAAGTTTTCTAGGCAGTTATCGGAACAAAATACTGTCACTCATCCAGAAGAAGCTTGGTGCCTTCTTCAGTCTGCTGTAAAAGCAGCACTGGGGACTGTAACCGACTCCAAAATAGTGGCTAAAAAGAGCCAGTGGATATCAGCAGCTTCTTCAGAACTAATGGATGCAGGTGAACGCATCCCTGCAAGCGAGCGAGCACAACTTACGATGGGCAGAACACTTTGAGGAACAGTTTAACTGGCTTCCAGCCACCATTACGTTGCCCGCTACCCCGTCAAATCCTGAACAGAACATTTAAATAGGTCCCCAACACTTGCAGAAGTCGAGAAAGCTGTACGTAGCTTGAAACGGGGAAGGGCAGCAGGACCAGACGCACTAACTCCTGGGGTATACAAGGATGGTGGTAGAGTGCTCTTAGTTAGGTTAACGGAAGTGTTAGCTAGTATATGGGAATCAAATACAATCCCCTCTGACTGGTCTAAGTCACTGATTATCCTAGTCTTCAAGAAAGGCGAGAAGTCCTCTAGTGATAACCACAGAGGAGTCAGTCTGACAGAGTGTCTAAGATTCTAGGTTCTATAATTCTTCGACGTCTGAGTGGAGCTTGGGAACAGCAAGCCCGAGTAAACCATACAGACAGGCTTTAGACCCGGCTGCGGGTATATTGACCAAAGATTCACACTGCGACAGGTTCTCGAACACAGGCACGCCTATCGACGCTCGACAACAGCTGTGTTTCTCGACCTGAAGGCGGCGGCATTCGATTTTGTTGATCGAGAAGTCTTATGGTGATGTCTTTCACTGAAAGGCGTGCCGAGCAAGTACATCAACTTATTGAAGGCTCTCTACTCAAACACTTGTGGGCGTGTTACAGCCCATGGTGAGTTGTCCAGGGAGCTATCCTCATCAAGTGGTCCTTCAAGGATGCCCACTCTCTCCACACTTATTCAATTTCATCGTAGATATTCTTATGGAGGTCTCCCTCTCGTCACCTAATTACACAGACGTTGGCCTAATCACAGGAAAAGTTTCGTTAGACCTAGAATATGCAGATGACATAGTCCTGTTAGGTGAAGACGCTGACAAGATGCAGAGTCTTCTGAACACTTTCAGTGGCAATTTGAGAATATTTGGAAATGTTTGCATTTCTCATCACACAAATGCAAATTGTTGCTTCACGATTGGTTTTCTACGGTGCCCTACTGCGACTAACAATAGAGAGTGAGTGCTTGAGTGTGTCGACCACCTCACTCACCTGAGAAGTAGGATCAGCCCTGCCCTAGTGCCTCAGTGGCCGGTGAAATCTCTGCACAGATACAAAAGGTTCGGTTGGCCTTCGCCAACTCACGCCACCTGTGGTGCCATCGTGATATCCGATTGTCTATTAAGGGTCGCGTGTACTGCACAACAGTCCACTCCGTTCTACTGTATAACTGTGAAACATGGCCACTGAAGGTGGAAGATATGAGAAGGCTGGCTTCAGGTGTTTGATCACCGTTGCCTTCGTAGTATAGGCTGTATTCCGTGGTGTCACCGAACCACGTGAGTAATGCAGAAGTCAGGTGTAGAGTTTTAGGGAGAGGAGGTAAATCAGTTGACGAGGTTATGAACCTTCATCGAATGAGATGGTTGGGGCACGCATTACGCATGCCTAGTCGCCGATTGCCTTGTCACACAATGTTGGTCGAAGTAGGTCCAGGTTGGAAAAGAGCACGAGGTGGCCAGACTAAAATATGTCACCAATGTATGGAGTCTTTGACTGTTGGTTTGAGCCATGTGGGGCGATGCAAACTAGCCGGTTGGAGTGTGCGGGACAAGAGGAAGCAGGGGTTGGAGACTCTAGATGATATGGCTGAGAACCGATGTCAGTGGCGCAGATGTACATACACATTATCCTCATCTTGACGACCCTTTACCGAGTCTCACCATTTTGTCATTCTTTCGTTTTTTGAGTACTTTGTATTTCTTTTGACTGAATTTTCTCATTATCATCTTTCACTTAACTGCCGTTTTATTCGATGTACCGATATGATGTGTGGCAATTTGGACCGTTACGCAGTAATGCATGGCCTTCTGTTGATTTGGATGGATGTTCTACTGTGGCTGTGAAGCATGGCCATTTAAGGCAGAAGATAAAAGGCTTCAGATCATTGACTGCTGGTCTGAGCCATTTGAGGGAATGCAAACTAGCCGGCCGCGGTCGGTTTGACAAGAGAAACAAGTAGCTGAAGACTGTATATGATATGCCTTAGAATCCATATGAGTGGCGCGAATGTATCCACATATTTTCGCTATCAAACCTATCAATCAAACGTCTGTGCATTGCGGAATGGATTAATGTATCATGAGTAAATTTTCAATGCACAGCTTACATACAATGATAAGTTTTTATTTTGGTAAACAGTGTTAAAAGGATTTAGCAGTTAGTGTGATAACGGACAGTAATTTTGTTCGAGATATTACCAAAATAAAAACCTATCTTTGTGTAAACTTTGCATTAAAAACTTACTTCTAATACATTATCTTCATCTTATTTATCATACTAAATTCCAGAACTTTCTCATTCCTCCTTTTTGTCTTTTAATGACTTCTAGTTTTGACTTCCTTTGTATCTCGATGCATTCTCGCTTGATGTGGTGATATGGGGTGTGGCAACTTAGACCTATGCGCAGTAATGCCAAGTCATATGTCAATAATATGCATTTGCCTGGTCAGAAATAGCTCTTTTTGAAGTTCGAGTTTCAGTTAAGATTGGTTCGCATCCAGATATACTCGCACACCGCCGGCATTGGGAGTCAACAGAGTAACGAATTCGTTGAGGTTTTGAACCGGTCTTTTTTACTACCACTGTTCTCGTAAGGAAGGCAGAATTAGGATGGTACTGTTGGTCATCAGTGGGAATATACTTGGTGCTGCTATCCTGTATAGGTAGCAGTACAACTTTGCTCCCGAACCCAATCACAGTGTAGTTATCTACTCCATAAGGGTAACCCTTTTTCCCCTAACCATTATCCAACGGACGTTTTCAGTACGATGAGATTTTACAGGACTCGTTTGATGATTGTGACACTCAAGTCCTACTAAAACGTTAAAATAGTAGCTATCAGTCGAGTAGAGGATTATATTCACGCAGCTAGTACATACTTCAGAAAAGTAATTTAATACACTAAAAGTTCAAAGGGTAGACACCAAACTACTGGCAGGTCCCGCCCACCTCTTTTTAAGAAGAGCAACTACCACGGCAAACCTACAATCCTTTTCTTACCACTGGATAACGTCTTCATTTTGACCAATGATATCCTGAATAATGAAGGGGGGTGTCGATTTATCTGATCTTCCTATTTCCTGTGAAACTGATCATCCTAACCGTCATCAGATAATATTCCAAAAGTCAGCAACATACTCATCTCCCAATAAAGTACCCGTCTATCCATAGTATTTAACATCTGAAACCCGTTACCGGAAGATGACAGCAGCTTTTTAGCATGTCAATTACATTTCTATAGAAATAACTACTACAAAGACAAGGCATTTTGGCAGTTATACTAGTCACCGAAGATTATATCCATCTGCACCCAATATAACTATGTTGCACTAAAAAGTTCTGAAGTGCGGATAAATTTGTTTTCAGAAAATACCCAGAAATTTCAGTGTTTGTCAGGTGGGAAGTGACGCTATTCCAATAAGTGCATTCGAAACAAAAGCATTCAGGTTGACGTAAGTAACCAATATCTTTGCAGTGCCTGAGAAACGTGAGAAATTTTTCAGTCAACTTTGAACTTAGATGGAATTTCTATTTTTCATTTTATTACCAAGGTTAGTTTAATTTGTTTAGAGCTCAAAGAATAATCTCAGCTTGTAGCATACTGACAATGCAAACTGACCCCAAACCAACTACTTGGAGAACAAGTTTAACAGGCTATCCAGTTCATTATATTCCAAATGGCACAATATCACAAGTGAAGAGAAAATACGATAACGTTAGGCCAAGAGGGGGAAACAAAATTTTAGGCAGTGTAGATTGTCAAACTTCCGATGAATTCAACGTTTCGCAAAAGGACTTCATGAGTTTCTGTTTTGTGAACACACTAATCTGTCTAATGAGCAGACTAAGTGTAACTAATTCTTTCAAGCTCATTATCGTAGGCGTCTGTTAACGTGCAACCGCCTAACATTTGTCAATTTTATTCATAAATATATGTGGCATCACAGTGTTTTGGGTTTGAAACGTACTATCCAGATACTACTTAAGCACAAACAGCAAGAGAAATACCTACTCTCGATGTAAAGAAAGAGCAGCCGGGATGTTCCGCAACCAACGTAAGTGGCGCCTTACAGACTTCATGCTGTAGGATTAGTGTACTATGGTTCTTTGAGTTTTTCGTCTGTCTTGTCAGAATACCTTCTTGGCCTGGGATGATCACGGTCGTCTTCCTAAGGCTAAATGAAAACTAGTTAGCACAAGTCTTTCTACATGTTATCTCATGCTTTCTTCTTAACAGTGGCCCCTAATGTAACACTTCTGATCCAATATCCAATATTGATAGTGCGAGCGTAGAAAACTAGTAGTTTTTGATCTCTCGCGTCTGGTTCTTAGGGCTTGGTTCCAGTTGTTCGGTTTACTCCTGCAGTGGACGAGGAAATCTCCTCTGCTTTCTTGCTTTTAGCTTCGGTGAGGTGGATGTTTTGTGGGTTAGTAGGTTGTAATTTGTAGAGTGATTAGGGAGCTACGGGTTGCTGGGAAGTTTAGAGAACTGCCATGACTCCTGATCAAGGATCACAACGAATCTGTTAGGATGAAGGGGATAGCGGGCAACTTGGTAGCCATGATTATTTCCTTTCTAATCCTTCTGTATTGCACCGGTTACAGCACAAGAGCAACTCAGCGATCCAGGTAGTGTTCTCACCGTAACCCAATCACTTTCTTCATAGCTCTTCTCTGAACCCGTTCTGGGATGCTAGTCCTCTAAGATGAAGAAATAATACAAAGTGGGCTAACATCAAGATCTTGCTATAATAAAGAAGCCGAAATATCGACTTAACATTAGTGTGGGTGCAATTTGAGAAGGGCATGGCTTTCAAGAATTTTACAAATTTATATCGTGTTTTGGCTGTCGTATTGAAAGCTTTCTGTGAATCTTTACTCTGATGCAGTTCAGTTGGTTGAGCACAGTGTTCTGACTACCACAGTTTCTGCTCATATTTGTAAAATATAACTACGCCCAGATGAACCTAGTGGAGTTAAAGTTCGTATAGGATTTCCACAACAGTTCAGGGCACAGTTTGAAGAGCGAGTAGAATTGTTTTCCATGGCTTCCTTCCCGCCTACTGACATCGTAGCAGCTTAGTTATCCAACGTTAAAGTGCCTTAAATGCTTATTCATTTATTTTTTCAAACCTAGTTGTAATTTGCTGCCGAGAATGTACACCATGGGCTCTCGCCACCGTGGAAGGTTTTGGGGGTGGTGGGAACCTTTGATCTTAGGAGGTAACTGCGAGGCGGACACGTAACACCAAACTATACCGGGGATGGGTGCTAAAGACGAGAGAACGGTGCAATCTGCACACCCTTAGTCCAAACTGTATCCGATACCCTGTGTTTCAACCTGTTTCTAATCAGAAAAGCAGCGTTAACGAATGACAGGCAAAAATGAGAAATGTGTGGAAGTGAGGAAAGTGACAAAACAATCATGGGAACAGTGGAAGACGAAATGCTTTCACCTGCATATTTTTCATCCTAGCTATTTTGCTACGGCATTTTCAAGGTGTCCTTTTTCCAAGTAAAGTGAAGGTATTACTGGAAGGGAGTTGGCGAGCTGTTGCCAGAACTGCAAGCCGAACAATACTTATCCGGGTATTGCATGCTTGGTGGAATAAGCGATGAAGACTGTCAGCCGCTAGGACCAATGAACACGCCAACCATTGCATGTAGATGCCACGCTGTCACCGCTCCCAGAGATTTCCTTACATGGACATTTGTAAACCTTTCCAACCGCACGGTCCTTCTTTCTTTCTTTGACGCAGAGGTAGTGCTAGTGTTGTTGGTGGCGATAGGGTTGGACTGTCACCAGCATAACCAGCCTTCAGATGGTTGACGCTGATGGTGTCTCGTCGTTCTAATTTCCAACTGCTGAATAATTTCTCCTCCCTTCCGACAACGTCCGTCGTAGGGGGTTTGAAGGGATCCCCGTAGTACATCAAGACATATGAGTACACGTGTGTAGTTTCCACGTGTTTTGTAGGACTGGACTACTCTACACTATCTCAACACAGACGGTGTCTGAAGGTGACGCATATGGGGTTTCAGATCACGAGCATAGTCATGGGCAGAAGTCGGCTTGGTGGATTCTGAGGCAACTAGCTCACTAGCCAAACAGCGTCTTTCTGTAAGCTACCTCAAAGCAACGCACTGTATGCTCATTGTAAGTTTGGAGTGGACTCTGGGAAGAAAATGTAGTAGATATGTAATCCATTTCACGTCCCTGGCTCCCATTACAGAAACCTTAAGATGGCGTTGGGAGTGCTAGACTGAACCACCAGGGGTTGAGTGATGCGCGATGGTTTGAAGGTGCTTGCATCCCGACAGTTGCAACAGCTTCTGAAAGATAGAAGATTAGAGTTGCCGTCCCCTATCGGTCGTCACGACAAAACCGTGTCCAAAAGTGGAAGCCATGTCTTAACGTGCACTTCACTGGCTGCTCCGGTGGCAATATCAGATGTTGGGGTGGACCTTGGGCGGCCAGCGAATCTGTTCACATGAACCAGTGGATGAGAGTAACCGTAAGAAGGTGGGAGTGGACCGGTCATGTTCAGATGAACGTGGGCGAACCGTGAATGTAGTTCAACTAATGCTCCGAGTGGTGTGACTCTAAGTCCATTCGCCCCGAAACTTTACCACTGAATAGACACCCGGGTCCACTTTGGGTCACGGCGTTTATTACATGTCTAAATAAGTGTAGCAAATATCAACTTGTCAGTGGCGCGGATGTCAGTATATGAAAAACCGAGCACACTGTTGGAAACAACCTTGTGCAGAGGGGGAAGAACAATGGGTTTCGAACTTCCCGTGAACATTTCGAACAGAAGTGTGCCTTAGTTGTCCAAAAAATGGTGAACACTGTGTGGTCGCAAAAGATGGGTGCTGATGCTCTTTCACCTCCTCATCTGAACTCTGATGCCCAGTACTCCCCCGTAAGTCAACCAGTTGTGGAGCAGAGGTGGTGTCAGAATGAGGCAGCACGCCTGCTACGGGGTCGTTCACACCAGGAGGGTGACGGATTTCCTAGCTGGATTGTGGAATGTTGTACAGAGATGCACTTCAGTTGAAAAACACCTTTCATTTCTGCGGTCGGTCAACATGATAAAACCAGGACCTTCCATGAGACTCAGATAAACTACGAATGAGATTTGACAGAACAGTATGGCGAATATTGAGCGCTGGGCAAACGGTTGACATCATACATAGAATGCATTCATGTAGGTCACAGAAGGTTTGAAATCGAACGATTCTAACGTTTCACACAGATGTCTGGTCCGAGCTCCTCTGAAGAAATAATCAAAATCAAAATGCCAAGGATATATGAATGGATCCAAAAGCGCCTTTCGATCTCCTTGTTCAATCCTCTTCGTACGGTCGTTGTTTTTCTAAAATACGATGACTGATCATTCATTATAAAATCGCATGTCTCTTTTTGTATGGTGTGTGTCTTCCGACTCATATTCGCCCCGAGTGTATCAAACAGAAAGTTCACAGGTGACACTATAATCATTCGGTAATTCTCTAATCACAATGGAATGGATGAGGTGGATATGTATGCCGCTTAAGTTGGAATATGGTGTTGAATAGTATTACCGAATTTTTCTTTTCTACTTCCCACTGATTCACCAGAATGGATTGGAAATGAGTGGTAGTAGTAATGATGGTAGCAATAATGAATCAAATCAATCCCGATCGTTTCGTTGATCTAAAACTAGTGAATATCTGGGCTGCTAAATTTTACATCTGTCACCCGCATCAAATTTTCAACGGATTGTTTCCTTTTGATCATTCTGTTATGTTCTCTTATCGCTCCGTATATCCACGCACATTCTTAGAAAGCTTGCGGTCTTCTGCGATAGCAGTATCACATAAGATGAGGAAAAAGCATCACGGCGGCTGGCAACGAGCTTTGAAGCAAATAATCTTATCTCAAATGACTACCTGAATGTATAGTTACGAACTGCAGGTAACTGAGGGGAAAAGTAGATTACTTACAATCTCTCTTATCCCCCAGTGTACACCGTAATCGTGGAGTAACTATACTGCAAGAAACTTGGTTAAATGGGCTATGTGACGACAATTTGGTCCCTCTTGATGACTTCGAAATTTTCTGTCAAGATCGATGTAGCTCTACTAAGGAAAGTGGAGGTAGAGTAGCTACCTTCATCAATACCCGTTGGTGCATTTCAAGTTACATTTACTTCAAGTTCTCTAGTGACCACATAGATTGCATCACTGTAAAATGCCGCCCAAAACATTTGGAAAAATATCCCTTTATTTATATGACAAATATTTGTGTAACACCTGTTTGCAGCCTCCCCGAACTATCCGAAATCTCTGATATATTCACGTAATTCGGTCCCCACACCCTGTGGTGCCCTGTCGACATCATGTGGCGATTTCAAATTCTGTGACCGAAGCTTTCTCAAAACTCTTGGAACATTGTTAACTTCACAACACGTCAAAACGCAACACCAGACTTGGTATTCGTCAATGACACTGATATATACGAAACTTGAAAGAGATTCCCACTGCTCGGCTCAGATCACTGTATCATACGTGTTTTGCCCAAAATATGTGGCGAACTTCACAGAACAGTTTTCACATGTAGGAAGATGGTACATAGAAACTATTCACTTAGTAACATGCCTAATCTAAGAGAAATGCTTCAATGTACAGACTGGAATATATTTGAGAGCGATAATTTGAATGATACTATTGATGATGTAACATGCTATCTCAAGTTCTGCCTAGATATATGTCGCCCCAGCGAAAGGCTTTTTCTACGCTTCCATCGTATGTCCTCAACCCAGCTTCAGAAACTAAGAATTGAAAGCGAAAGATTATATAAGGCAAGTGATAATGCTGGTGCACGTCGATTGAATGCCTGAATTAGGTTGAAAATAAAACGTTTGAGTCGGTTATACAACCAGAAACTTTTGCCATGCAAAGGTCCTTTCAGCATATGGAAACTTTTCAGAGACCTCATTGGAAGTAAACACCCTAGCAAAGAACCTTACGTTAATGTCTGTGCCTTGAACAAATTGTTTATACTTCAACCCACTTGTTCCATCCCACTTTGTCCG